TGCCTATAAACCCTTAATCCTTAGTGTCATGGGCCTGGGGCTCCAACACTTTCCTGGGAGCTCCTCAGCGACCAAGGCTGGTCTGACCAGCTTCTGCTGGACTCCCCCATCCCTACTCCATGTCACTGACAACTGCCGGATGTCACCCAATGCCACTGACCCAGGTGCAGGTCTCTGGTTCTCTGCAACCCTCCAGGGCTAACAGCCCTAGTGTTCACAAAGCAACCGGCTCTGCCCACACTACACAGGTTAAGAATTCCAAATACGTTTAGAGGATCTTCCAAGCCACACCACCTACAAAATAGATCACAAGTTTACAGGACCATCACAGCAGCGCCTTGTTTAGACACAGTTTGGGATGCGCCAGAGCAAACCCCACAAAATTTGCTCTCACACAACAACCTAAATAACTGGGTCCAGAGTGCTGCTCAAATAATAACAGTAAATCAGCCATCAGTCCAAATTTGAGGTTGATGATTGGTCTGAATCCTAGGCTGCTAATTGGCTCAAATTCAAGACTGTTGATTGGTCCAAACTCAAGTCTGAGGATTGGTCTAAACTGGTGCAAATTCAAGCCTTCTGTGGCCCAGGCAAATGTCTTTCTGGAGTAGCTGTGGGGCATCCAGGTCAGCCTCAGCTGCAGATGTCAAGCAAAGCGCCCCCTCCTGGCTGTCAGATGGAAAAGGGAAGGGCGGGACCTTACTTGGCTCAAAAACACAGCAAGTCAGGCTTGCTTTGTCACCTAATTTTAGAAGTGATATCCACTCACCTTTATCCCATGGTGTCAACGATGAGAACCAAGATTCTTGGCGTCACCTGAAGAGGCTCCCACCACAACTGCCCTTTTGTTCTCATAAACAAGAATACTCGACCTTCTGATCTTTTGGGGAGGGGCTGTATTGATCCTCAGACCATGGCCTTTACCCCGAGCTACATTTCTAACCCTTTTTTATTTTGAGCCAGGTTCTCACTAAGTTGCCAAGGTTTGGGCTCCAACTTGCAACCCTCCTGCCTCAGCCTCCCAGCCTGCTTGGGATGACAGGCCTGCACCACCAGGCCTGGCTACATTGGCACCACCTCATATAGCCATAGTTACACAGTCCCGAGAATCAGGAAATCACCGGGGGAACCCACCACAGAGCTGATTCCGCCACCACTTCAGTATCTGTGTATGCTGTGCCCGTGCCGAGCTCTGCACAATCTCACGACCTGTACCTTCGTGCAGCCACCTGTGACCATTTATTCCTCTTCTCAGGCCTGTGTGCTGGCAAACAGCGTCTCCAGGCCTGTCTGACAGACTGGAGACCTTGGACCTGGGTGAGACTTCCGGGGAGGGCCAGGAGGAGGCAGGAGAGGCGGGGCTGGAGCAGCAGACAGAGGCGGAGCCTCTGCTCTGCCTCCTGGCTTCCTGGAGGGGGTGGGGAGAAGAGACCCCAGCTCCCCCACCGCGCCCTGTGCCTAGGGTCTGCCCTGCCCTGCCCTCTGTCTGGGCCCTGTGACCTGGGCTTTGCAGACGCGTATTTCCAATGCTGTACCTGCTCACCGGGTCCCCAAACCATCAGCCAGAAATGACAACACGGCGTTCTCTCCTGCGTGAGCTCTGAATGTGGAGGACTGTGATCCTCACAGCCTGAGTGGAAACAAGCCCTTCCCTGGCGCGGTGCAGCACCGCCCTCGTGTGGCGATATTCAGAGCTGCACCCTGAGGAAGGTTCGCAATCATGAAAAAAATGTTCCACTGAGATTATATCTTGCTCCATAAAAAATGGTCGTCATCAAGAAGTCAAATAGTAACAAATGTTGGCGAAGTTGTGAGGAAAAAGGAACCTCCATGCATTGTCGTTGGAAATATAAACTAGTACAACC